AAGGATGACATGCAAATTCATGAAGCATTTGATATTTTGTTTTGATTTTCTAATGTTCATGATGGAGAAACTGAGGCTCCAATAAATGAAGTGACTTACCCAGTTGAGGGCTCTTCTAGCATCAAGCCTCATCTCTAACTCCTCCTATTAAAAAACCCTATTTTAATTTGTGATGTGGTATATGTCAATAGATAGAATCCACAAAACGTAAGCTCTTTGGGATCTCAGTAATTTTGAAGAGTGTAAATGAGACCAAACTGTTTCAGAACCACTGTTACGTGGTATGACTGTGAGTATGTGGCCGATGAAGGTTGGAGGACAAGGCCATTGGACATGAGAAAGTCAAGGAACTGAGAGTTCAGGTTATTGGAAGGATTATCGTTGTGGGTATACAGATCACTAAGATTTAGGGTAAGAGTGATGTTGGAGAGAAAGGAAGCCACGTAAGTGTAAAAATCTTTAAAGAATGAACTATGTTATGCTAAGTCATGGCATAGAAAGCCTTCACCAATCGGTGGATCTGCAAGGTCACAGTGCACTGGAAAGTATTGGGTTAGGTCACTGGCCTCCAAATCTCTGATATACTAGTAAGGGTAAGGTAAAGTTGCTATAATGAAGAGACCCAACAGTAATGTGATTTTAAGAAAACATTGTTTATTTCTTCCTGTTTAACAGTTCTAAGGTGAGTGATCCAGATTGGTGATGAAGCTTTGTTCCATGTGGTCACTCCAGGGACAAGTTTTTTCTGTTGTATTATTTTGTTACATTTTAGGGCATATGACCATCTGAATGATCCAACTCTGGTGTAGCTGGGCAGTCATGTGCCCAGGAAGGAGAGACTAGATTTTGGTGGATAAGTGTCTTTGCCATTCTTGAAAACAAGGGCTATTTCTTAGATTTGTTGCACCCTCTGCAATAATAGGTGTATAGTTGATCAATAAAGACTACTGAAATAAAAATATAATCTTTATAATATTTGTTTAGGGATTGAAGTATGTAAATAAATTTATCTGAAAATGTCTAAGTAGAGGTTGCCTGTCTGCTGTTTAGAATGAGATTAGGGTGTTGTGGGATTAGTTTTTCAGTTTAGGGATTTCCATCCTTCATAATTCTTTTGTATTAAAGTTGTATTCAACTTCATACAGACATAGATGTTTAAGGGAAAAGTTAACATAAAATATGCCAAGAAACACTGAAATGTTATTTTTAGGATCAGTTTAGCAACTGATCTATTGGTTGTAATCATTGGGTTCCAGGAGGAGGAAGAAATTTTCTTTTTGCGTTGCAAACTTGTCCTCTCTTACTTATCATCTCTCTTTTTCTCTGCTGTGTGTTAGGCGCCTTGCTGTGACAAGCTTTATACTTGCCGCTTGTGTCATGATAACAATGAGGATCATCAGCTAGATCGCTTTAAAGTAAAGGAAGTGCAGTGTATAAACTGTGAAAAAATTCAGCATGTAAGATTTTATGACATATTTCTATTTCCTTTCTTTTTAAAAGCTTTATTAAGGTGCTTTGAAAAAAATTTAATCGAAAATATTGCGAATAAGACTTAACTCTTACAGTAAGCAATATCTTTGATTTAGATGTTTTAAAACTTGTAAAAATAAAACTGCATATACTTTAACATAAATTCTAGATATTCAAATAGTAACTCAAAATATTATGGTTAATTTATTCCAATTTTTAATTATGTGTCTTTTTTAGGCCCAACAGACTTGTGAAGAATGTAGCACATTGTTTGGAGAATATTATTGCAGTATATGCCACCTGTTTGACAAAGATAAGAAGCAGTATCATTGTGAAAACTGTGGAATTTGCAGGTACTGTATGTAAAATGTTGTTTTCTGATTACTTCTAATGTATCTGGCCAATAACAGTTTTAAAAATCAACTTTATTGGGATATATTTACATCCGGTAAAATGTATTTAAGTGTCTCATTCAATGAGTTTTGATAAATATATCTATGTTATTAATACCGTCAACACAGTCAAGATATAGAACATGTCCATTATTCTAAACAATTTCTTCATACCTCTTTTTGCAATAATAGTTTAATTTGGCAATCAACTATTTTGTGGCTATTTTAAATTTTACCTTTGGGATATAAAATATATTTTATATGAAGTGCTTTGTAGGCAGCTAAAGTAGAAAATTAGGGTAGAT